CTGATAGACTGCTTGACTATCGACGAATCTCCATACTACATTCTACAGCCAGACGCCCGGCGCATTCTCGAGCAGGAAAGCACGTAATACGACAACGGGGTGACTGACCCCGGCCACTCAGTATTTGCACTGGAATTGGTCGTTGCTCCCAATATTCGAGATAACTGAATATTAATAAAAGTCCCCTTTCTGTATATTTTCACAGTATACTCGTGTTACAACATGACAACGTACCGCATCAATTTACATGTCTTCTACCTCTGAATGTGAATTCACGCTACTTGCCGACATAGTTGGAGTTTGGTGAACCGTATGTTGTCTTGAACGTTGGTCTTGGCGACGTTGGAATAGGCGATTATCGTACTTCATAGCTTGGCTAATAGCTTTGTTGAGCGTTTGCGGATCAGGAAGAGTTAACAGCAAATCCTTCACATCGTCCCTTAAACCCCAATAGAATTGACTCATCAATGCTTCTTCGTCCCAATTGATGTCGCATGCTAATTGCGTGAAGTTCGATGCTTAGATTGATGTAGAATGCATCCCTTGTCGTAGTGACCGGATCTTTGTTGTAGCCCATCGAACCTTGTCGTGTTTACCAAATGCTTCTGCAAACGCCTCCAAAAAGGTTTTAAAATTGTTTAGTATGGACGATCGTTTCTCGAACAAAGGAGCAAACTATGATAGAGCTTGCCCTGTAAGTGAGGTTCCAACAAGCTCAACACGTGATTCATCCGTTGGATAGCGTTCGGGCTGTAAAACTGTTATCAACCTGATTTGGTTGACGAATCCTCGAAACTTGGAACGTGTACCATCGAACTTGTCCAGAAGGCTAACTCGGGGCTCCTTATGTTGTAGAATCAGTGGTGCTTGTTGAACCTAAGGCACAGTTGCTTCTCCAAGTGCAGAAGTTTGAGGCTAGTGCAACTTAGATTGTGCCATCCCAGATGCTCCATCATTATGAAGCCTTGCCACCACTCCTTCAATCTCTATAATTCTTTGCGATAACGTAGCGAGGGCATTCATGATAGCATCTAACTTGGACTTTGAACTTTCCGTCATACTAATGTCTGGGCCCCCGGCCATTCTAAGAGAAGGACAAAAATGACTCTACAAGAAGACAATATTATTTTAGTGGAAGGTACTTCACGTCCTCTAAAATACCTTAAGAGCTTCAAGAAAAGGGGTAATCCACTCTCGAAGAAGAAGAATAAGACTCCAATATTGTAACAAAAGAAGTATCAATTTATACGGAAAAATATGGCCCTTAGGAGTACAGCAGCTGCCGTCCGAGCAGAAGGATAATCCACACT